GTGGGGTGAGTGTGTGTGCGTGCGCGCGCGCGTGTGTGTGCGCGCGCGCGTGTGTGTGTGTGTGTGTGTGTGTGTGTGTGTGTGTGTGTGCGTGTGTGTGCGTGTGTGCGTGCGTGCGCGTGTGTGTGTGTGTGCGTGTGTGCGTGTGTGTGCGTGTGTGTGCGTGTGTGTGCGTGTGTGTGCGTGTGTGTGCGTGTGTGTGCGTGTGTGTGCGTGTGTGTGTGCGTGTGTGTGCGTGTGTGTGTGCGTGTGTGTGCGTGTGTGTGTGCGTGTGTGTGTGTGTGTGTGTGTGCGTGTGTGCGCGCGTGTGTGTGTGCGTGCGTGCGCGTGCGCGTGTGTGTGTGTGTGTGTGTGTGTGTGTGCGTGTGCGTGCGCGCGTGTGTGTGCGCGCGTGTGTGTGCGTGTGTGTGCGTGTGCGTGTGTGTGCGTGTGTGTGTGCGTGTGTGTGCGTGTGTGTGTGCGTGTGTGTGTGCGTGTGTGTGCGTGTGTGTGTGCGTGTGTGTGCGTGTGCGTGTGCGTGTGCGTGTGCGTGTGCGTGTTCCAGTCTGGTTCTTTGGGAGGCCCTGGCGAGATGGGGATGTGAAGCCAGGCTGGGCCGCAGAGAGTCCTTGTCCCTGCCTCTGCCCTTGTCCTTTTCCTTTCAGCAAACCCGGAATACCGTACCGGCGTACTGGCGTTGTCCTGCCGTACTGCCGCAGGTAGACGTGATACATTCGCTGCAGGACTTTGATGCCGTACGCTCGTACGCGGACCTACAGCTGCAGCACCTAGTGTGGGGCGTCTTCACGGCCCTGCTGGTGGGGCTGCGGGTGCTGCCGCATTTCAAAACCCAACCCGGTCTGCTCGTCTACTCCCTCACCCTCAAGCTCAGCTGGCACCGGCTGAAGGACCTACTACGTGCGTATTTTGGTCGGGCTGTACGGCATGGGGGGTGGTTTAATGGGGAGATGTACGGTGGGCGGGATTGATGACATAACTTCCTTCCGAATGTAATGTTTCTTAGCCTCCTCCCCTTCCTACTTTTCCCCCTCTGCTTTAATTTTCCCCTCTCCCCCTCTCCCACTCCCCCACCCCTCCCCTCTCCCCCACCCTTTCTCCCCTCTCCCCCACCCCTCCCGACAGTCTTCTTCGGCTACGTGTATTTCGTGATGACGGTCCTCATCACCCCCCTGTTTGAGCTCACGGGCGCCAACACCTTGTTCAGAGACACAGGCACGGGGATCCTCAATGTGGCCCTCATGACCTTTCAGTACATGGGGTTTACTGACTTCTTCTCGTACAATGCACCCACCTTTGGAACCTACTGGTACGCGTGAGCTGTGTATGTACGTATGCATGTATGTACGTATGCATGTATGTGTACGTGTACTGCATGTGTTTTAGGAGGCCGGTAGTGGTGGGGTAGGAGGGTGAGTTGGTGAGATAGAGCGGGGTTAGTGGGGGTGTTTTAACCCTAGGGTTCGTGCCTAATGTCTCTGATGGCTTTGGATATACCCAAGCTGTGTTTTTAGCAGGTGGTTTGGTGGGTTGGGAAAGAGATGGAGGCTGCTACTGTAGCTGCGGCGGCAGCTGCTCAGCACGAGATACGCGTGTGTGTGTGTGTGTATGTGTGTGTGTCTCTCATTTATGGTAACTCCGTCGCTACAGCTGCTTTTGCTGCTGCTCTTATTTTTCGTGTTCTCTAGAAATCGCGTGAGGTGAGTGGAAGAAGAACTGCCTGCAGTAGCACTACTCTGTGTAGCAGCAGCAGTAGTAGCAATCAGCTTGGCTGCTTCCCTGACCTTGAGCTTGGCTGCCAGTGGAGAGCTGTACATCCCCCCCCCCCCCCACCATCGTCCCCTCCTCCCGTACCTCTCACTCCCCCCTCCTCCCGTCCTCCCGCCTTTCATCCCCAGGATGATCTTCATGTTCTTCTTCTGGGTGGTCGTACTCGTGCGTAAGTAACCACCATCACCACCACCACCACCACAACGCGGATGAGAATCCCAAGGGGGGAGGGAGGGAGGGAGGGAGAGTTGGTGTTATGTATGTATGTATGTATGTATGTATGTATGTATGTATGTATGTATGTATGTATGTATATATATACGTATACGGACGTGTTCACGCGAAGAACCGGCCTCCCTCACACATCATAACGCCATGTCTGTCGTCATCGGTGCCAAGAGGCCCCCCCTCCTGCTCCTCCTGCTCCTCCTCCTCCTCCACTTCCCCCGCTCCTCCCAGTGGTGGTCATTTCTCAAAACGTGCTTCTCGCCTTGGTGGCGGGGGCGT